ATAAAACGACTTTGCTGTAACGAGTGTTTACTGCGTATTAAAGGAAAAGCGTCAACGTGTTTTCACCGTTCTCATGTTCTTCAGTGAGCGTTAAGTGCGGAAAATTAAGCAGCAACGTCAAGAAGCACATGCGACAGATAGTCCGGCGACATGCATGCATTTATTAGTGGAAATTGCCGTGCAACCCTTCAAACGAGCTATCAGCAGCATTCCTGAAGCGAATGGCAACTGCCAAGGAATCGCCGCCCCAGTTTCACGCACCAATTGTATGCCACGAGCCCCAGCAAAGAGCGCGTTTCGCTGTTAAGTGGACTAGCACAACAGAAGCTGCGTCAGCACCAAACATAGCATGGTTGATTACTTAGGAGGCACGCGTGACCGCTGTTTATCAGCGGAATAATTCTAGGCACGTGAATGTGACTTTGGTGGCACCGAGAATAAGAAGCTCATGTTTGGACACGCAGGTGTGGCTATTCCCAGTGATAGATGCTCCCATATCTGACTTGGGGCAGCTTGACGCATTGATTGATTGATATGTGGGGTTTAACGCCCCAAAACCACCATATGATTAAGAGAGACGCCGTAGTGGAGGGCTCCGGAAATTTTGACCACCTGGGGTTCTTTAACGTGCACCCAAATCTGAGCACACGGGCCTACAACATTTCCGCCTCCATCGGAAATGCAGCTGCCGCAGCCGGGATTCGAACCGGCGACCTGTGGGTCAGCAGCCGAGTACCTTAGCCACTAGAACACCACGGCGGGGCCGCTTGATGCAATTTACCGTGATATTATTAGGATGGCGCAGTAAATATGATTTGGCACACTTTGGCACAGGAGTGAAATCACTGCTAACGTTTTTTTTTTCATTTATGTCACCTTGCTCTGATTTGCTTTTCAATAGGTTGTTGCCTTTATTTACTGGCCTCGCAGAGAGCTTTGCTACGCCACAAAAAGTTTTGTACATAGCTTTCCACTTCCTGAAGTTTTTTTTTCCTATTTTTTCTCTTTCTCATTCAATCGTGACATTCCAGCTTCATTTATTGTAAATTAGTGTTTCGACAGTGTGAAAGTTCTTAAACATATGCAATGAAATAAGCAATTGTTGAAAGTATGGGTTCGATGGCCATTAATGCTTCCTCAGCTTGACACATGTTTGAGTATTTTACCCATGTTGTGTTTTTCCTGTTCTGAATACACCAAATAAACAACTGAGCTCTGTTATTGAACATGTGCGCTTATTTTCGCTACATTAGAAAAACAGGGCTTTGTTTCACTTATCAGGTTAGCATGCAAGTATTCTTCATCAAGAAACTTGTTGTGCCATGTGGTGCAACTGTGGTCCACCTAAGCAGTCAAAGTACAGTAACGCACGTGATTTGTGAACGTGCCACCACACCTGAGTGCCCTTGGGGAATGTTAAGTGTGAAACACTTTCACTCATGCAGTATTTTTCACGTAACATGTAGCTGTCAGAGTTACATGTCAGAAATGAAGTGAATGTGTTTGCAAGCTCGGAGTTAAGGCGAGGCAATAGACACTCAAGATCAGCGTGTATTGACACTGTAGACAAACGTTACCTTACAAAAGCTTCGTCATTCTTGATTTGAAGTGTTGCCAAATTTATGTGTTAAAGCGGCAGCGGAGTGAAGTTAACTTTCATGAACTGCAAACACAGGAATGCAGAGCTTTATCTTTTTTGTAATCTGGCCGTGTACTGCCGCGTAGGTCGTCTGATTGTAAATAACATAATCGGCACAGGCCTAACTTTCGCTGAGAAACTTCATTTAGGAGTTAGTGGGTTTATAAGGCTTGTGCAGTTTCAGAAGCCCGAATAAATATCGTGTTTTGTGCTTGACATCCTGAGGTAAGAAGCCATGCAGGAACAACTTATGCAGCGAATAGTGGATCCATTGCAGCCTTGATATCTTTAAAAAACACGCAAAAGTAAGTTTCATATGCAACAATCACACTGCATGCCAGGTGAAGTATGAGAGATAGTTGAATTATTGTGGTTCAGTGCTAGATACACCATTGTCTTGCAGCAACACAGCATTCAGCTGAAAGAAGCATGTGCGACCGATGTCCCCTCGCTGACCACGGTGACCCCAGCGGCGGCTTCTGTCCCTGTGTGAAACTACAGGCGGAGCTTCGTGACCACAAAAGCATTGAATGACTTTAGTAAAGCAGTTAAACCCCTTTATAAGAGCACCGAGCAGCAATTCCTTTTTTTTATATGAGATGTCTTTTATAAGCAGGGTTCCTTGTAAGCATATAACCCTTATTTCACTGTAGGCACACTGGTGTCACGTATACCCATTTTTCTTTTATATCAGTGTCTATTATAAAGGGGTTTGACTGTATGTAGCAAGATTGGAAAGAGACAATTAGCTGTCAAGGGTCACGACACATTTGTTCCCTTCAGTATGCACATTGTGCTGTTATTGCAAGCACGACTGCAATCACTGACATCTCAAAATGTCTCACTGATAACAATTCAGAGCTGCCTATGATGTCGCTGTGGCCTTCAAGAAACATTAAAGAAAAAGTTATACGAGATTTAAGACTTGGGGTTTGACAGAGACCCACCTGGTTTGGAAAATTCATGGGAAGCGCTGACCATTGGTTGCAAGAAATTAAAGATAATTGGCCCCAGTACAGGGGCCATGTCAAAATAAATTAAATGTCTTGAGTGGCACTGGTTATATGGGAATCCTTACGTGACGTAATGTATATCGGGGGCTCATCACCCTGAGCTGCAATGAAGCACGTATTCCATTCTTTGAATGCGATGAAATTCCAGATGAAGCTCCGCCATTTCGTACCTTTCTTTTCCTTTGGGCTATTCCAGTTGGTGCCACTGGCAAAGGGGTCTCAACAGACCCTTTGCCAGCAGCTTCACGTGGAATAACGTTCCGAGAGTTTGCTACACCCATTATTTTCTTGCATACTACAATCAGTACTGCTTCTTGCTACTGAAATAAGGCTGCTCTCAGAGTTATTTTTTTTTTTAATTTTATGTGAGGCACCCCATGTGATTGTTATAAGCAGACACATGACCATGAAATAAAAACTATTATTCAGAATCGAAGTCCACATTTTATACATTGTGAAAATTGGTACAGAAATGTTTTCCAGAAACTCGACGTGAAATTCCCTCCAGAAATGACGTTGTAGCTACTGATTGCTTCACCCACTACGCCAAAACAAGAGCCCTGCCCAAAGGCAATGCTGCCAAGGTAGCCAAGATCTTCATTGCCCTCCGACATGGTGCCCCAGAGGATTTTATGAATGACAGAAGTACAGCGTATACTGCTGACCTGACTCAGGCAATCCTGAGATACAGCCAGACAAGCCATCGCTGGACAACCATGTACAACCCACAAAACCAATGGCCTCACTGAGCCTCTAAATAGAACCATCGCAGACATATTGGCCATGCATGTCAACCTCCGACAAAAGACGTGGGACGCCATCTTTCTGTACGTAACCTTCGCATACAATGCGGCTGTGTAGGAGATGACGCAGATGTCACTATACAAGTTGGTCTTTGGAAGGAACTTGGCAACGATGCTCGATGCCATGCTGTCTATTATCGCTGACAAAACTTCGACAACACTGTCTACCTTCAGAGCACTGGAGAAGTGCAACAACTCGCCCGCCTACACATCAGGAACCAGCGGTCGACCAACAGCCACCGTTACAATCTTCGATGAAGCTCTAAAATACCACCCCGGTGACTGTGCTAGGGTGTGGAGACCCGTTAGCCGACATGGGTTCAGCAAAAAACTTCTGTGAAGATACTTCGAACCGTACAGGGTAGTTGAACCCCTCGGCCCACTCGACTATGAGGTTGTCCCCGACCACATCACGAACTCTCAACGGCGCCGTGCACGACCTCAAGTCGCCCATGTCGTGTGCCTCAAGCCATTCCTACGCGTTCATGAGCCTGAGGACTGTATTCTTGTTGTTACTGTGCTTTATTGCTTGAACTTATAGCTTATTTTCTTACTTTATTGTACTTGCATCTTTTGTTAAAGCAGGGAGTACTGCCATATTTCTTCCTTAAGATTTGTTATCGCCCCGTGACACTGTAAGTAATTCTTTGAATGTAAACATTCGACAGATATCTGTCTGGTCGGGTATGAAAACTGAGAAATGATTTAAACTCCAACCAAAAGTTTTTAAAGAAACCCAACCTTTCGGAACCGACTTGGCTTCTTCCTCGGAGAAAACTGCAGAACTAAGCAGTAGCCACGTCTTCAAAACACTCGCGGGACGATTAATGAACCTCCTTTCTCTCTCTCTCGTTATTCTGTGGAGCGCCATCCATGTATACACTGCGGGAAGGGTTCTGAGAGAGCGGTTGATGTTTTGGGCCATTTGCTGTATATGCCACTGCGCTCCACGGCAAAACGAGAGAGAGGAAAGGGGGGTCATTAACTGCCCCGAGGGTGCTTTGAAGACGCCGCTGCTACGTAGTCCTGCAGTTTCCCCTGAGGAAGGAGCCAAGTCGGTTACGAAATGTTGGGTTTCTTAAAAAAAACTTTTGGTTGGAGTTCAAATCATTTCCCAAGTAATGCTTTGCACAAATCAACGCCTGCAGTGTTCGAGAAGCTTTGGTACCGTAGTAGATCATTTTGCTGAGATTACGCACCCAATGCTAACGTTACAGATCATTCTGGAACCTACATGGTCGTTAGCGATAATGCTGGAATATTTGACGACACACGTATAAATGCCAACATGCTTCACCGCTTGTCAATTGATCAGTGGCCGATGCTGCGTTCACCGCCATCAATGCCAGTGTGTATCACTGTAATCTGGCTTTCAGTCAGATTACAGCCACAAGTTCAGCCGAATAAAGAGTTTTTTCTCTGGCACGCTGACTGTTGTCTTTGTCGTGTGACAACTCCGTGATAATATCATAAATAACTGAAAAGCTACAACACTACCGTGCCAACAAGAATTACAGTGAAAAAATAGAATGTGAAGAGCCATACCGTACAAAGTCGGCCCACTTCTCAATGACATCTTTAGGCCTCATCGCAGTGTCGATGATGCCCACGTGATGTGGCTGCGCAGGGGGAAGAGAGAAAATGGCATTCACACGTGCTGCTTTTTCATTGCCACAAAATCAGAGCAACTGTGCAGAAAGGAGTACAAGCGAACAGTGCTTTACATTAAATGCAATTAATTAAGCAAGCTGCATTTACAATCAAGCACATGAATAGTTATTATGAGGCTCCAGTGAACAGCTAGACACATTTCCATACATAGCAAATTTCATCAGGATAATCTTCTCATGAGAACTTCATATTTTGCTCAATAATGCAAAAATAAGGGTGACATGAAGTTTAGTGTTCTGAAGTGCCCTCTTCAGCGATTCTGCTTGACACCAGCAAAATTATTGGAAGACTGGATCAATGAAATTGACCTTTATGCAACAACACTAGCTATCAGCGGATCGACTAGATTAACCTATCCCTACACTTATCCACCATTTATCTTCTGACTCAATGTAGTGATCATCTCCCCCCCATCTCTGAGACACCTATCTCTGGGGTGAGCATAGGGGTGGAAGCAGGCTTCAGTCTTTTGGAGCAGTTTTAAGAGCAGAAATGTGGTTTTGGAGCAGCTTTGAAGCAGTAAAAAGGGAGTTTTGGAGCAGCTCTGGAGCACTGAAAGATGTGTTTTAAAGCGTCGGAAATTATGTTTCGAGCAGATTTCTCAGTTCACACACCACTGTTAATTAGAATTCTTACTTTCTGGTAAACACAAAAAATTTCAGTAGTTTTTACTAAACATGCAATGCTGATTAAGCGACCAGACTGACTTGTCCAAATCGATATACATTGGACCTTACAACATCAAAGCTGAAAGCACAGAAACTAAAAAAAAAAAATAAGTGGTGCTCTAGACAGCTACTAGATTTAAATGAATGAAAAAATTCAATGTTAGAAAGTTGAAATATTGAAAAATGTGATTAAAACACCGCATCTAACATGAACTCCAATGCAACACTAGAGACGAGCTACGGTACAATAAACGTTATCTTCACGCTAAACCAATAGGGCTCTATAAAAATACATGTAAGAAACTCATGTTGCGGTCATTTAAGTGCCACGTCGGACATGAAAACCCCAAGAAAATTTAGATATGCTTGCTGTGCTGTTGCTAGGCAATGAAGTGAAAAACTTTTTCATTCCGATAGGAATTATATGGTCACTCGATGGGCGCCGTCACCCTCATGTTCCGCGGAAACTAGAAGTTGGTAACATTCTCTGCGCATCCTACATTCTACCCGCAGGTAAAATTGCACGAGCTGGGGAAATAAGCGCTGCCCAAGTAGAGATTAAACGAGACAGCCGATCTCAGTCGCTCAAAGGGCGCACGCCATAGCATTTCACTAAAGTCCCTGGATAATTTTGGAAAGTACCGTCATTCTTTTAACCGATTCGCCGCGCCATGCACCTCTGCAACCTCTCGCCTCCCAGGCCGCCATTTCAGAAAGGTCACGAATATCGCACATGTTATTAGTGTGACCATCCTCGATAGGAAAGTGGAGTGAGCCAGGTTATAGGGCCGGCGCCCACACGGTGAATGTTTGAAAGAGGATATAAATAAGGTGGGCAATTGGGAGAGGATATACAATACACCACCCATCTTGAATGAGCATGAAAAGACCAGGGAAAAAGAGGGGGGGGGGAGGAGGGGTTGCTTGAGAAGCAGCTGTGACCTTTAATTCTAAGGGCATGATTGTGATAGCTGGCACGTGGACTATTCGCGGCGAGATCGGGCTATAAGAGGCAGCACCGTCCGTGCCCAAGTGTGGATGGGCGATCGGTGGCGCGCATTCAAAAAGACGTAGCAGCGCTTTGTTGCATGCGGTCTGAGCCGAATGTCGGCAAATGAAATGCATTGACTGCAGCTTAAAAGTAATATTTACAGACCTCTCTACTGAATCGGTGCAGGAAGCTTATGCAAAGTTACTATTACCCGCGAATAAAGCGCATTCTGCCTATCAAAGAGATGCTCGCCGTGGGTGGCTATCTGCTTTCTTTCGCACTAAAGCACGCTTCTGCTATGTTGTTTGTGCATGCTTAGCTTGTGTTCTATGTATACTACGCACTGCTGTATAGCCTGGCTGAACTACTTATTTACTTATTTTTCATCCGCATACAGCAAAAAACAGTGAGAAAGAAAGATTGTAGAAAGCCCGCATATTTGTGCGATGAGTTCAGTACCACCGTTTGCAACTTATACACATATGCTTTTTTTTTTTTTCATTCTGTTCACTATGAAATGTGTGGCGGTCAATAAGTCTAGTCAGAAAAGCTTAGGCGCTAACAGTGCTTTGCGCTATGCTGCGTTCACCACGAATACGCACATGTTCTTGCACCAGTAAACGTATAAAAACCTTCTATAAAAATTCAGCAGAAAGCTTTCATCGATGGATTACATGCATGACAGTGCGACAACAAAGGTTTGGTTAGGACAAGCATATGCTCTTTTTTTTTTTTTTTTCAAACAGAAAATGACCGCTGCCTTCTGTCAGTCTTTAACAATGTCACACAAACTCTCAAGACAATGCAAAATGATGAGATTTTCAGTGAAATTATACATTATATGTAAAGTATGCCATCTAAAATAATTTTGAACGTCTGGGCTCTCTAAAGCCTCCTTAAATCTATGGTTGCACATGGTAACTCTGTTTCAAGTACAGTTTACTCAAGTACTGTAAGTACTGAAGTGTTACTGTTTATGTGAAGGTATTATTTCTGTGTAGTTGTACCATGGCCAGCTAAAGACAACTAAGGCTCCTCGCATGTACTATAAATACAGTGCCGTATTTGTGCACCAACTGACAGCGCACAAGTGCGTAGCCTAGAGTCTCGTTTTTGTTTACAACTGAGTTGCGGAAACACTGATTCCCCCACGATTTATTAGTCCTCATGTTTGGGAGGATGCCAAGAGCATTTCACGGTGCGCTTTACACAGAAAGCGGCACCCACTCTGAAATGATTCTGGTGAATGGAGGGTAGGACGACAATAAAAAGCACTCTAAAAAGTTGCACTCGCAGCTATTATTACAATGCACTAGCAGCCGAGCAAGACAAATACTTTGGTACGTCGTTTCAGGCATACACAGAAGCAGTTACACTTGCTCCGACATGTCTGGACAAACCACACTTTAAGAACGTGCATGACATACGCGTACATAGAAACACAACGTGTCTAGCAGACTACTATGCACCTCCTCTCCAACCTCTCGGGTTTTCCACTATGCTCAGTGAAGCTGTGTATATTACTGCGCATTGTAGCTGCAGTTCCTTAATATGCTTGGCAACCACAGATATCGCGTGAGCCTCTGCAGTGAAGATGCTTGTTTCGAAGTGCAGAATACCGGAATTAAAGAACGATGAGCCAGATGACGCATAAAGCAATCCACACTTGCATGAATCAGCCAGTTGCCGCAAGCATCAGTTCCCGGCTCGTAAACCATTTTACGGCTTAACAAAAAGAGATTGTGCAATAAGAGCATTTTTCTCCCTCGAGCAGCCGTACTTATTCTCTAACACCAGTGTTTTGTAGAGCAGTGGTGGGAATGCCTTCTAGCATTTTGGAGCAGCCATTAGAGCAGGCAAAATCTGCTTTTGAAGCAGCTGCCTCGGTGTTAGGAGCATGCGTAGATTTTCCTTGACATGCACAGAAGAAAATTTATCTTTAATTTAGTTAATTGTCTTCTTAGTATTAACATTATCATTCATACAAAAGCACCAAGTGCACAAGTTAAGAACAAGAAAGAAAAAAAAGTATTACGTACAGAAGCAGTGACATGATGATGTGTGGTGTTTTATGGCACAAGACCTTTTGATGGTCAAAGAGTGCCAGGTCAATGGACAAGTGTTGCGAACAATTATTATGATCGGTGGCTGTAAAAGGGCCTTAAAATTCCTCGTGCTAAGCAGGTAAAAAAATAAAAGCATTAAAACCATGACACTGACGTGAAATATGTGTAGTGAGAGTGAATGGCCAAATGTGATAGTCAGACAATGATTGAGATGTAGCCACCGTGGCTGTGACCACTCTTCAGAGGTCGTGCTATAGAGTGCCTGGGTATATGATGTTAAAAGTACGCAAGTCTGTTAAAAATGCCTGGAATGTTTTATGTTTGAAAACAGGTTTTCTATTGATCAACATTGATGGATGCAAGGGTATCTGTTGTCGGTAGAGAAATAAAAAGTGCTTTTTTCTGAGAGCATCTAAACCACTGCACTGGACGAGGATGTGGAGAACTGTGAGCAGTTCCCACATCTCTCAAACAATGGTGCATCGCCACCAGACAAAAGATATGAATGTGCCGAGTGTCTGTGTCCTATCATTAGTCTTGTAAGTATGACTTGTGCGTAGCGTGATCTTGATACTGTTGGCCAATTTCAGATTCTCGGTTTGATAACACGTAGTTTGTTTTCTGTTTACTTTTCCCATAGGTGCTGCCAACACACCCTGAGCTCCGGTCGTAGAAAATGTTTCAGATCAAGTACAGAAACAGCTACGAATGTATTGGCCGCAGCGTTGTCTTGCGCAGATGTAGCTAGCTGATCCGCCAACATGTTTCCAGCGATATCCCGATGCCCTGGCACCCAGCCCACTACAACATGTCATTTGAGAGTATATATCGTGCATAGCAGAGAGTATAGCGACACATGGACCGAATTTTTATGTTTCTGCAGAATTTTCAGAGCCGTTATTACGCTCAGTGAATCTGTGAATATTATTGCGCGTTGTAGTTGCAGTTCCTTAACATACTTGGCGGCCACAGATATCGCGTGAGCCTCTGCGGTGAAGATGCTTGTTTCAAAATGCAGGGTACCGAAGTTAGAGAATAAGAAGGAGGAAGAAAGTTTAAGTGGAAAGACAGGGAGGTTAGCCAGTTCTTAGACCGGCTGGCTACCCTGTGCTGGGGAAAGGGGTGAGGGCGATGAAAGATGTTAAAAAGAAATGTTGCGAAGAGAGGGAGAAATTACAAAAAAAACTTGTGACATAGGAAAGGCAACATCAAAGAGTAAAGAC